ATAATTTAAATAATATAAAAGATAATATTGAATGATTATTATATGACATTTAACGATAGCTTCAATAACATTCATTCACTAGTTTATTCTACTACTTACTCATTTGCCATTCAGTTACTTATGGCGAGAAAAAAATTGTTTCTTCTTTTTGTATGTTAACAGAACCGAAAGAAAGAAGGAGAGTGTTAAATCCGCATACTGATTGGGATGGCGACGACTGCAAGGAAATTCCCCTCTCTCTCTCTCTCTCTCTCTCGCTTAATATTCATGACTTCAGTTTTCTTGTTCTTTGCTCTGTATTTCTCTTCAGGCATTGACTATCGACGATCATCATCGAGTACCATCTGTTATAATTCGGATAGTCTATCTCGTGTTTAGAAATCGTGAAACGAGAAAAAAAAAAAGAAAAATCGAATTTTCATACACAAGCAAAAGATTATTACTACTATTTGCTGCATCGACAATCATATTAGAAAAACAGGCAGTCAACATGCATTTTTTATAGTGTCTAGCAGAAGGAAAATTTTCTATTCGATTGACAATTGAGTTTAAGGGGGAAAAAAAAAGACTTGTAGTGTTCCTCTTTGACAAATAATCAAATTCAAAAAAATTTATTTTCATAGATGAATGAAGAAAATAGAATCATATATCAAAATTTATTTTTTTCTTTTTTTTTGAGTTTTCAATAGCAAGATACTTGTAACAACGATAGAGTTAATAGATTTGTTGAAATAAAAATAGTTACATGATTAGTTTAAAGCATTCAAACATAAACAATAGAAATCTTTCGAATTGTGATAATTATTATACAAATATTGAATTTCTTTATCATTTGTTTAACAAAAAACAAAATAGAAACTTATATTATTAGATGATAAGTATTTGTTAACGAGAACTCATAGTCACATACATCCGAATTTTAAAACACAACAATAAATGATTATCATTATTTTCTACTTTATCAAAAGAAAAGTCTTTATTATGATTCCATTTTCATTCATAATTATTCATTTAGTTTATCATAGATCAAAGTTATAAAATAATATGGAATTAAATTACTAATGATCTTAATATGAATATAAGATCGAAAACACATTATTTATAATTTTGTTTGAATAATAATTAATAAATGAAAGTATAATATTGAAAATTACACAAACATGAATAGAGTTGATGATGTCTTTGAATAAAAACATTGATCGATTGTGTCTATAGAGGGTTACAATAAAAGTTCAAACTTCTTTCTTTTTTTAAATAAAACTAAACTTAACTATTAGCAACCAATTCGAAATAGTGATTATTATATTCCCCTCAGAATTTATTAACTACTTAGAACGCACCGTTCGGACTGAAATTTACAGAAATGAGAAGTACTTATAGGAAAAATTGCAATCCTATATGTCATACTAGACCGAACTTCCAACTAGTTTATATGACTCTCAGGAGAATGATTATAACTTCGTCACTATAAATGATACAGAGCTCGGACTGGTTTCAAATTAAAGCTAGCCTCTGTGCGCAACTTTTGTCCGAACAGAATTTTTAAATTCCCTCCCATTCGTTTTTTTATGAATATTTTAATAGACATGGTATTCAAATAAGCAGAAAAAAAGATGACCTTTACGACATTAAACAATGGATTTATATTGTGGAAATAAAGGAGATAGCAGCCTATTAAAAGACATATGATCAATAAATAACATCGTAATGATTTATAATTAAAGAAAATTTTACTTTTCTTATTCGAACCGAATCAACTCTCAGTCGATCACAAAAAGGTTCTTCATCGTCAACTATTATCATACAAAGAATATTAACTTTTCCGATCAGGTGACACATACTGAAACGTAATAAGCTATTAGTGTAACACCATGTCACAGATGTAGTTATCAATCATGTAATGCATCTAAAGAATTATTTTTAAAAAAATGTGTCCCTCGATTCTAAAATTCTTTAACATTTCAAGACGAAAGGATCAAATTATCATGTTATTTGATATGATCTTAGAAAAAACATCAAACAATGTGAATGATTTGTGCCATGCTTCGATGAACAAAAGAATCAATAGAATACTAAGTAATTGAATTTTATTATTAAAATACTGAACTATCGAGAGACAAGATGTCGCTACTCGTTACTATAAATCTGTAGTTCATGATCACATACTAGTTCATGTTATTCGAGATAGTATTGTTAATTCATTTCAAATAGTTGAAGCTGATATTAAACGTTTATTGATGATCAAACGAGATTGATCTGAAACAAAATTTGGTAATGAATTACTCAAAACAGATTCAAGCCATAGTCATGCGACATTTGAATCTGATAAGAAATCGGTAGGAGAATATTTACTAGAATTCATTCTTTGGTTATTAGACACAGGTGAAAGCACTCGAAAATTATTCGAATTACTGTCTAAAGATGAAAAAGAAACATTTTTTCGAATACTTCACATCTAAAAGTAAATCTTATATAGAACAGCTCATTCTTGTGTAACACGCAATTGTTATAAATTTCTTATCGTTTTGATCCTCAAGAAAATATTCGTATTGGTCCACTTATACTTGATTAACAATTATTAAATTAAATGGATCTTGTTAATGATGGATGGTTAATGTACTCAATTGAAACAATCAAGGATTGATGGATCATCAAACGAAAATATTATGATTACGAAGGGAAAGAACATATTAAATATCATGAAATTGATTATTATTGATTGATCAAAGCAGTGAACATTTTAAAATGTCCAATGTTGTTCAAATTGATCAAGAATTTACTTACCATGTGGTATGGCAGTAGTGATGTTAAACGTGGTTTCAATATTATAATGATTATCGTCTCACAGAAGAATGTATTTTTCTATCAGAAAAATATAATAAACGAGTTCCATATTACCTATGATACTATTGAATTTTTAGGTTATGAATTGATCTATGCTGTAAAGAGTTCTAACAATTAATAAATCTATACAATGAAAGATTAATTTCTTTGGTTCCGACGTCGATTAGTATTGATATGCTTTGTGTAATATAAAAAGATCAGCTGCAACTTCGTAGTAAGAAAAAGAACAGGATGAAAAGATGGGAAGGGTGTAGACGAAGAGAAGATCACACCCACACCCTAGCACATCCTTGAAAGTTTTTCAATATGAATTCTCCATTTTTTTCAAATTAATGTTCACATATCAATATTAAATATTTACATTTAAATCGTATCCATCAAAAAGTATTAGAGAGAAAAGAAGAGAATCAAATCGAAAGCTCTGAGTACAATCATAACGAAAAAAAGTGACATTATGCTCTAGATAAATCAGTCTCTTATATAAGTCGAATACTATAAGCTAGAATAACCATTATTTTGTTAGGAAATTTGAAAATCCGTTGTGCAATCTACATAAAAAGAAAAAATCAAGAGAAAGATTATTGTTTAAAAGTCTAAGAAGAAACCAATGGATTCCAGAGTCTATCGACATTTATTTATACCAGCGTATTTAACTGTTGATAACATAAAACATGACTTAAGTGTATGAAAAAGAGAAGTATATGTCTCAAGATTCAACTAAGGTTTATCTTCCTGTTCCTTAATACTTTCCACTTTGTCATAAAATGACTACCGAAATTTATTGAAAAATTTCGAAAAAAAATGTCTTTGATGCTATTAAAACAGTGCATCTAGGAAAAGATTCGACTTATTGTCGAGATCAAAACATTATCGTGACCAAGTAAGAAAAAACAATGACGATGTTTCAATGCGACTATCAATTCTTTCACAACAACACCATTTATCAATAGAGAAGAATTAAGTGAAAGAAGAAAATCGATCATTTTTCATATTTCTCTCTTCAGTCATTTCCACAAAGATTTCTAGTAGAACTATACGTTGACAAAATCTATCAAAACGTACAAAATGAAATTTATGAAATAATGTGTAGGAAAAAAAAAATTTACTTTTTTAATCAATAAAAAATCCATATAAAGGACAACATTCGCAAAGCATTTTTGTAGAGTGTTCTTATCAAAAACACAACTAAAAAGCAAAACAAGAAGACAAGTAGAGTATTCCATAAAATCAAAATAACATTTTATTAAAAGTTTATTTCACTAAAAAAAAATACATTGAACGATCTCTAAAACAACGTGTTCAGCTCTTCATTCAAGCATATTGTTCATATCTAAAACTTGCACATTAAACGCACTAAGTATTCGGACCATACAATTTTTTCTTGGTACATCAACACCGATTTTTATTTCGAACTTATACATTTATTCATTTTTCTTGTATATGAATTAAAGTTAGTTCTTTGCTATGTAGGGCGACATTACAGACAGATGTCGCTTTTACTAAATAAATTCATTTTATCAAATAAAATTCATTGATAAATAATAAAACAATTTAAAAAAGTTCATTATTCTTCTAGAATAATGTTATTCAAAAAAATGTAAATTCAACAGAAACTAGAAGAGGCTTTATATTAGTTCGAATGGTAATTGGTTACTACTATTCTTGTACTGCAATAAGGTGATTATGTATTATTTGATTCGTTTGTTAGTAAATCAATATCTTATTGTTAATTATATTAGAAGATCTAAAATTGTCGATCAAAATGTTTATTTTTTTTTAATGTAAGCAATTAATTAATCAATTGAAACTTTTATCATATACACACAATTAACTCATCTACAATGTTACGAAAAATTATTTAAAAACAATAAAAATTCTAATTGTTGAATATGCCAATAAATATTTTTCTATTTAGATAACAAATATAAATTTTTTAATTTGCAATAATTAAAAATTCTACTTAAAAAAAAAGTATTTCAATTAAATGTCATGTATATATATCAAATAACATTGACATAGTACATTATTCAACTTGTAAATGATTAAAAAAAAAAAACAAAGAAATATTTTTCTTATTATTTATTTTAAAATTTTAAAAATTGATAATTTTTATTTCAGATCTCTTGTGAATTTGATTGATTATAATAATCATCATAATGCAAGGAACAGACGGTGTCCCAACAACAGATCAAATTGAATTATATATTCCACGAAAATGTGCTGCAAGTAATAAAATTATAGCAGCTAAAGATCATGCTGCTATTCAATTGGACATTGCTGAAGTTGATGAACAAACAGGTCGCATGACTGGCAAAAATCGTACATATGCACTTTGTGGTTCAATTCGTATGATGGGTGAAGCTGATGATTCAATTGTACGATTGGCTACAAGAGATGGATTTGTTGGAAAAGGATTTTACCTTAAAGATACCAAATAAAGCGAAGAAGTTCGATATTTTCATTACTCGCTTTATTTTCTTTTTTGTACTCTCTCATGTTTTTTTTTGTTTTTCTATCTTTATTGTTTTAGAAAGAAAAAAAGAGAGAAAGAGAGAGAGAGAAACAAAAATTAATAAATAAAATAAGAAGATAAAAACAGATTTTCAAATAAATAAAGATTTTATTCGTAATATAATACGACGACTCTTGGTTCATTTTCTTCAAACTTAATTAAAAATAATATTCTAAGACATTCTTATATGAAACGATACTATGATTTGTACTGATAGCTTGCGACAAAGGAAAACAATATAAATAGAAATCTTTTGATAATATTTATGAACTTGTGATTTATTATATATGATAGCATGGAAAATATATTCAAATGAAAGAAGACTAGTAGCATTGATTTAACACATTGAATATTTCTTACAAGTCTAAACATGTGATAATCATCAAATTTATTCTCGGATATTTAATATCACTATAAACTTTATTTTATCTGACAAGATTAAAATGAAATAATAAAGTCCTGATTATTGAAACTGTAACTAACAAGAGAAGTCTTCCAATTGATAAATTGCTTTTGAATCAAGACTATGTGTATTATGTAGACTTAAATGAGTTATGAATACTTTGAAAAGAGTTCATACCTTTAGCTTATTGATACGGAGATACTACACTTACAGTATTTTCTAAATAAATGTCGTGATCCAGAAAAACTAATTTTCGAATTTTAGCTTGAAATTTTACATAGAAACAGACCTTGACAAAAATAGGTTTTTTCTGAATGTTTTAGATCTAATCGTAATTCCTGTTCTAAGATAAAACTATGGTAATAGAGTGTCTTTTACATTACTCATATAAACCAGCAGATTTGATGTTCTTATTTCAGGATAGTAGTAAATCAAAAGACTTGAAACTATGCTTGTTAAGGCTTGTCTCTGTGTAAAGTTTCAAGTTGAAATTCGAAAATCAGTTATTCTCATTTATGATATTCATTTAAAAAATACCGTAAAAGTTCAGTATCTTTGCAGTAATAGCCAATGGATACGAACTTGTTTCATGGTATTCTTAGCTCATTTGAGTCTACATAGAGTTTTTCGATGGATTAAAGATGTTTCTTTCTTTGCTCTATATTGTACAAACATTGGAATATAATGTATGATAGTACAAAGCAAGTTGTGCGATTGTATTTGGTAATTTATTCATTTATTTTAGCAGCAGTAGAAAGTTTTGCAGCAGATCAAATAACGTTAGAACATATAAAAATTGAAGATACCGATATAATGCAATGCTTTTTTTTTCTACAGATTTACATTTAAGTAAAAGTTATTCTTCTATGACTTAAAATATCAAAGAGAAAGATATTCACGATAATTTGATAGCTCTCAAAAAAAAACTGTATGAGAATAGATTTTATAGATAAATAATTGAAATCGATCTTGAGTATAGTCAAAAACAAAGCCTACATCATCCATGTGTTGATCGGTCCTATGTATTAGCGATCATCAGCGGAGTCAAATAGCCACTCGAATTCACATTACACAGTTAAACATTATCTTTCGTCATTCAGTCACTGTTGTAGTTCAGGTAAGAAGAAATATTTGCAAAATAAAAGTCACATAATAGAAATTAATTTAACCAATAAAAAAGAAACCTTAAAATATTGTTTTTCTTTTTTAATTTAAGGATTCTGATAAAAATAAAAAAAGTTAAGAAGAGTGAAGTTGAAGTTGAAATTGACTTCATAGAAAAATAAAATTGAAGAATATATCATCATTAATATATTTGTAAAATTGACAATATTTTTTACTAGCAATTGTTATTTAGAAGGTTGACAATCGTAAGTCAACATAGAGAAGAAAGTCATTTAGTTTATTTTGACTAAAGATAATATGTAATGTCTCTTATCTTAAATATAAAACAAGTAAAAAAGCAACGTATGTTAAATGTAATGAAATCTATGCTTTTATGAGAATAAACAAAAATATGTGGCAAATTGTAGGTTTTCTATCTCTTGGTAAGATCATTATGAATCCATTATAAAAAAAAAGTATGCGCATTCTTTAATATTGTCTGTAGTTCTTAATCATATAACACATGTCCATACACAAACATTATATCAATGTAACTTTGACAGCGCTTCTACAACTGACAACTGTTTCACAACAACTATCAATATTGTTTCAAGTGTGGGAAACCCAGGTACCCTGGCGCCAAACGGAGCTTTATCAGATGTAACTTCAAGCTGTAAGAAAAATTTTTTATTTCACTATTTATTCTGCAAATACTAAATATTCATGTCGATTTAGTGACGGCAACAGGTAATGGAGAACTATGCAATATACCTTATCGAATCGGCACATTCAATTGGGATATGTATTTTTGTAATAGAGGTTATTGTCCAACAGAATCTAGTTCAAATAGTACATGTAAACCAGGTTGGTTTAATGTCAAATAAATCCTATCTTATTCATTTATTCTAAAATGTTTTTATTTCTTTTAGGCAAATTTGGTTCTGTACAATTAATTACTAATGATAAAAGATCCTATCAACTTAAAACTGGATCTAGTGGAATCAATGGTATAGGTCAACAATGTCTTATTTATTACTATTACATGGGTGCTGCTAGCTCGAAGACTATTACCGTAAGAAAGATGGAAACGAGTGGTAGTGATCAGACCATTGATTCTGTTACAAGTACTCCATTCAATGGATGGATACAACGTAAAATAACTTTCAATGCTGAAGCACATGGTTATAATGTAGGACATTTTTGAAAATACGTATATTAGTAGGTGTTTTATTTAATGATTGTTTTTAGCTCTATTTTGAAGCACAAAAAACAAGTCCATCTCAAGCACCTTATATAGGATTTGACGAAATCTCAATTCGTCAAGGGAGTTGTGGTACGTAGATATTGACGGAGAAGAGAATATTCTTCTATCATGATTTATCTAGAGGATGAACCCGTAACTTCTGGTTCGATGACCACAACATCAGTACCAATTCAGACAACTACAACAACCACAGCAGCTGAAACAACTACGACAACACCCGAGCCAGTCCCGACGACAACAACAACACCCGAGTCAATTCTGACTACAACAACGACACCAGCTCAAACAACCACAACGACCCCTGAGCCAGTTCTAACGACAACAACAGTGCCGATGCAGACTACGTCAACTACTCAGCCAACAACCACAACGATCATCACTACGACAACCTTACCTATCGCGATTTCAACAACTCAATCTTCTTCATCAACCACGACAACAAACATTGTTACAGTAAATTTCAAATAATAACTTCTGTTTGTGTCTGTGTGTTAATACTTATTTTTTGCTGTAGTCATCAACAACTAGTTCTTTACTAACAACACCAGTGTCAACAGAAACTACCAGTACCATGACTATTTCATCTACAATACCCATAAAAACTACACCTATGATTACTGTAACTAGTAAGACAACAACAACTACTTCAATATTAAAGACAAGTACAATGGCGATCGTCGAAAATGTGATTATTTCTTCATACAGTCGAATACTTCCTCGAGAAAAAAGCGATATCATCGTCATAGCCATAATAATTCCTATTGTATGGATAGCATTCATCATTGCTGTTCTTTGGGTAAACAAATCAAATGGTGTAATTAATAATATCATACATCCTTTTACTAATTGGAGTCGTAATGGTGAATGGCCTGCCAGTTATGAGCTCACTAGTGTATCAGATGCTTAACACATCTCTATTGATAAACAATTTCGTTTGTTGCTTTATAAAGTTAATTCTTACATTAAATAAATGACGATGATAGAAACATTAATGTTAGATTGATCTCAAGAGAGAATAAAAATAGGGAGTAAAACTTACGACTTAAACATGTATACATTAAATTTTGAACCGATAAGGATTAAAGTGTCAACTGGGTCATAATCGAAATAATAAATATCTACTATTTCCTTGATCTAACTAACTAATTTTCGAATGATGAAGCAGATCCATGAAACTCCAAGAGATAATGCTTCTCAATATATCACAGATTGATGTATGCTGATAGCTGTTATTGATAACCATCAATTGGCTGAATCAACGATTATAATAAAGGAAATTTCAATTAAAACAATAAGTGACAAAACATTTTGCATTATTGTAGGAAATTCTACTTGGCTTTATTTATGTTCTTGAAGAGACATATTTACAAAAATGATTAGATTTCTCTTTGAGTTTATCCTTGGTATTACAATTTGGTTTAAATTGAGATATATTTTTTATGTAGAAGTGATGATCGTTCTTGCCATTTTGACAATTTTTGCTAAGTAAGAAGAATGAATACAATATTGTGTATAATGATAGTTATGTTCTTGTCAAACTCTGCGCTGTTATTATTATTATTATTATTTATTTCTTCTTCAACATTTGAATAATTTAAAAATGAGAATGTTGAGTAAGAATATTCTGACATTAGAATGAAATAAGTGCAACTCTGTAGAAAATAAAAACTATTACACAATGTCTATATGTTATCGATTCAAGGATAAATGATCAAGACCTTCGCTCGCCTTTCTTATTGTTCTTGCTGTCATTTTGATTGTATCTATTGTTATGATTTTCGAGATAAAAAAGTTCCTATCAAAAGGAAAAATGTCGGTAACTAGTATTGAAGTTGATTCAGTATCAACAACTTTATCTCAAAAATAGAAAGTGATTAAATAAGAAAATAAACTTGATAAAATAATCTGTTAGAAAAGTCTTTAAATTTAGGATAATCATCAATTATCTTTTTTCTTCTTGATGTTGTTGATTTAGTTAATAATACATACAAAAACTATCGATACTCTTTGAAACAACACTTGATATCAATTCAATAACAGATTTCTACATTAATATTATTGTCGACATTTAATTTATTCGATAGGAATATTGAAAATAAATATAAATAATTTTGTGGAATTCAATACACAAAAAACACAATACAGTACTATCCTTTATTGTTTCATTCTGAGATATGTAGAAATATCTATGATAAACGAGAGATTATTTATAAATTATATAAGATTGCATCGAAAATGTTCGATATGTAGTTAATTTTTTAATCTATCTCAAAGGTACATTTGATTATATTTTAGTTAAATGAAATTGAATATCATTGTTTATCCATAATACCTAGACGTAATATTATAGTCTTGAACTCTTAAGAAATTCGTCTTTACCGATGGATAAATCATTAATAAATACAAGTAAATATCATTCAAAAAAAAAAATATTCATAAACGAAGTTAACAAAGAAGTTTTTTCATTAGAAATACAATTACCATATTGCCTATTTATCTATTATTACAATGTTTTTTTTTATTAGAGAGTAAATTGTTGAATTAGACTTTTCAATTTAGGCTTAAAATTGCTTGTTAGAATCCAAATTATTAATTAATTTCTCGAATTAAAGGAAACTTTTCAGACAATTCAAAATTTGATTAATTGATCACTTTATGTTAAACTGAATTTTCAGTAACTTCATGAGTTAGAAGAAAAGAATGAATCCCTATGTACAAACAACTTCTTTATCAATAGAACAAACCAGTATCGCTTTCTCATAAGAATGAACAAAATGGTTATTCTAGAAATCGTTTTGCTTGTATTTATTATTTATTCAATAAAAAAACTAACCCTTATAAAAGTCGAACTTATCCATACACAGAGAAAAAAAATGAATTGCCTATTTAAATGAGTTTCTGTTTAATTTCTTGAAAAACAAAATCAATTATATCTATAAATTGTTGTGATTCATATGCTTCAACAATAACACCGTTTACAGAAAAAAGACATTTTAAAAGATTTGAAAAATGTATTACAGCTTCGTGATGACCATATTTATATAAAAGATATCGCCATGTTAAATCTGTATACAGATTTTGAATCGATAAAATTGCTTTGATATTCGTCAAATTAGTCTGAGTATTTTTTCTATATACAGTATAATTGATTGTTGAAAAAGCAAGAATTGTAAGTACTAATTTAATAAATGTATCATCAGAATCGAATTGACCAATAACACGTTTAATGAAAACCATTGCAGATGGTTGAAAGATTATCTCGGCAGATTTAACAAAAGTCACATCATCAAATAATCTTGCTTGACGTAAAAGAAACATTCCACCAATAGTTGCTGTATATTCTATTGTATTTTCAAGTAAAATAGTGCGATCGTGTTGAGATAATAGAAGAGAATCACGATTTTTCTCGAATACACGTTGAACTTTACTCATCATTAATATAAAAAAGTAATTAACTGATGAATATTTGAATCGTAATTTGAGTGGTAATCGATTTTGTTTTTCGAGAAAATCTTCAACATATTCATATCCATTATTTTCATCGAAACAATTAAGTAAATTTGATAAAAGATTCCATTGATCAATACTCAATATTGATTGATCAAATTTTAAGAGATTTAATGTTGGAATCTTAAAGAAAACGAAACAATTCTAAATGTCAAAAGTACACAAAGTTTTGAAAAAAAAAACTTCTCAAAAACATTCGAATTATTTTCAAGCTTTTACAAATTTGTCTTTATTCATATTGATTATTCGTCAAACAATCAATATTTTGTCTGTGTATTTGAACAAACTGTTTTTCTTTTTTGTATTAATTAGTACATATCATTTTTCAAATAGAATATAAATTGATTGAAGAACCTTTTTATTTTTAACTCTAAAATAGTACAACTAAATAGAGATGATAAGTTGGTTATGCTTATTTAAAATGACCAGTTTTATAAACATTTTCACTTGTAAATCTATCGATGATTTAATATTACTTGTAGAAATCTAATAAATACAATACTTGAAGGTTTTCACCTGATCAAGTTGACATGTTTTATTCAATGTCACTGATGTTGTTGACATTAATGGTATTGAATCGATAAACAATTTTCTTTTTTTATTTCTCTTATTTTTCTTGCATCGAGATGATCGAATCATTTCACTACGCATCCCATTCATAAAACATTTTCTAAGTCGACATGAAGCACATGTATGACGATTATTCATATTAATATCACATTTATTATCAAAGTGACATTTCAATATTACCTAAACAAATAAATATTAATTAAAGAAATAAAGAAATATTGACTTCAATCGACTGACTTGTTTATTTTCTGCATTTCGTTTAAAAAACATTTTACATGAATGACATACAATTGCACCATAATAAGAATATCGTGCAGATGCTCTACAAATTTTACATTCACCTAGAATTGTTGTTCTCTGTCGTACGACAGCGCTAGAAAATATCGGTATAGTAGTCAAATATTTAGTAAGTGATGTTTGTGCCATAAACGAACTTTAAAATGCACAGCTATTTATGATAAATAACGAACTGAGAAACTTGAATAGTAAAGCAATGAAGGTGAATAAAACCAACGACTTCTTATTTCTAATATATAAATAAGCTATAAGTATACAATAGAAAAAAAGAAAACAGGAAAGAAAAAATGTTTTTCTTTTCTCCATGAAAAGTCATGACGAGAAAAAAAACAGAGTATGTCGAATGCTTGTTCTGAGTTTACTAGTCAAAAGAACGGATGTAGGTTGTGCAAAAAAAGACGGAAAAGAAATTGTTCTCAGTAACCTCTCTTTTATATAAATAGAAAAATTTTAGTTTTTTTATTCTTCAAATTTCTCAATTATCTATATTTGCGATTCGTACGAAAAGAACATTTCAAATTTGTACACCATCAAAGTTATGATTGTGATATATTTTATTAAAAAGATGTAGTGAAATATCATGCTTGAAAAAAAAAGAAATCATAATTATTTTAACATTCTATAAATGGTATCTAAAATCTCTTCGAAATAAAAAATTGTCAAAAAATACATATTGTATATACTATTCGTGGAAAAGGGTTTAACTGTTGAAAGTCTCATATCTAGAAGAGATTATATTCAAAACTTATGAATTTTTTTATGAAAGCTAGTCTAGTTGAGTGTTCTCTATATACCCAAAGTTTCAAATCAAAATTCTGAAATACGAATTTTCCGAAAACCTAGTAGTCTCTAGAAAAGAGACATACTAAAAATTCGATAGTTTACTCAAATATGAATAAGAAATGAAATCCTTTAGGATTTTAATTATAACACTACGTAGTATTTATAAACAAAAACATCAATAGCTGAAGAAGTTCTCTCATCAGTCAATGGGTATTATTTTTGCTACAAAAATTGTACCTGATTACCCCAAAATGTTTTTCGATTATTCATACATAGTATGAATGATAACTAGAATATGTTTTGAGAAATTCATTAAAAATGAGCATCTACTATTAAAACATACATTGAGAGAGACAAAGGTGACGAAACAAGGATCGTCTATGCTACCATACTTTTTGATGGTTAAAATATAATAATGAAAACTTAGAAGAAAAATATTTATAGGTAAAATATTATCAAGAAGAGTCCATATTCATTCAAACACAAAATCATTTCATCGAGATTTTTTTCACTTTCCATACACTAACAAACAAAATTAATAATATATTTGATATTAACAGACAAAATTGCATTGTAGCATCTCGATATCTTTTATGTTCATGAGTTATTCGAAAATTAAGAAACTGAACAAAAAAACTCCACTTAACAAAGTCATTAGAATAAATATGAAATCTTTCGAATAATATAAAAATAATTCAAATTTTAAATAGTTAATTAAGTGAAAATCTTTTAGTTATTTTTTTTTAAAGGTTACGATTTTCTCTATTTATGTATTGATTAGAGTTATCAACAAACAATTTATGTTCGTTGTGTCGATCTAGTTGGAAATATTAATGTCAGATATTCTTGGAACACTTTGCATCATTGTTTTTGTTGATTCTATTGTTTCCGTATAGATATTAAAATTTTCCCATCGTTGCCTTTCACTTTCAAGACACAATTGAATATGTTCGAAGACTTTTTATTTGCTTTTTTTACTTCAGTCTCCATCGAATAATGTTTACAATACAAAGTTACTGAATTCAACCAAATCAAATCTTTCGAATACATAACTCAAATTGTCTCACTAATAAAAATGACACTTCCTACACATGCTTCATCTAAAATTGTTATAAAAATGATAGTATTTGCAGAAGAAAAAACAACTCCTACTACAAGCAACGTCTCAGTGCTATAAAATACTTCATCTGCAACTGCAGTCGACGATATGAATGAATCTGCTAGCAGATCAAAATTTAGTAATATCAATTCATTCTTTGGTTGAGATTTTCCTTGATAGAATCGACTGGCTCAGATTACAAATCTAATCGTCTGAGGTTTTACTTTCCAGTGTTGATAATTTATTCAACACGAGTAAAATTTTCTATTCTCATGCATGTCTATTATAATTTTCGTCGAAATCATTGATTGTTTGATTAGGATCTGCAATTATAACGTTTTTTTGTTTTTGACAATTGATATTTAGTAATGGAACAGTCATAACTATTCAAATTATGTTTTACGCTCAATATTATTCGATCAATACATTAAATTAAATCCTAAAGTTCATTTGTCATATCACTTTAATCTTAAGCAAATGTTCGATACTGCTTATCAAGTTTTGAAATTCTACGTAATCATTCCATGTATAAGAGAATGAAATGAACTTTGGTTGCAATGGAAAAAAATTTACAAAAATAATTTTTCAATGGCAAATAATACCATATTCTTATATTCAACATGCACAAACAATTCAACATTTTTAGCTAGACTAAATGTTTCTCAGCTATCGATTCGATTTGTTTGAAATATTTACTCGAATACTTTCAACATGTATCTCTCGTTTTCTATTAAGAATTTAATGATTTCGTTCATTTATGTATCGATTAAAACAGATGATCACTAAAGTTGTAATGTCATTCTTATCACACTGTAATAGAAATTTGCATAGTGACAATGGTCGTGACCGAAAAACAAGAGAGTTTTTTTCGCAACAGCTTGTCATAACAGATTAGAAGAATGTTTCGCTCAGAATTTTCTTCTCTTCAAAATACCATCTAAGACATGATGATAGAACAATCTCGGACAGAGAAGAATGTTATGTGCATCAGTCGTGACCAACGCTGGTCAAAATCAATATGCAGAATTTTTCTCTTCTGAAAATTATTGTATCTTCAAGTTTCCAACGATATTTTGAAAAGGAGAAAATTCTGAATAAAATATTCATTTGAAGTCGTTCATCTAATCTCATTAGGGAAGGTTGTTGTGAAAAGCTTTTCTCTTTTTTGGTCACGACTATGACCACGATGCAGACGACTAAATTGTAATTAACTCCTTTTATTTTTTTTGAAACGAAATTTTCAAATCGACAAGATAAAATTTGTTGATGATTTTGAGTCTTAAATTAAGTCATATTTTGATTCTCATAAATTCTATGTTGGTTCATACATATCAATCTAATTGTTATTTTTATAATAGTATGAAAATTCTATCTTGAACTACCAAAGCTAATAGGTTTTTAGCTATCGTAATGCTGTTTTCTGCCAAGCTGCACACTATCACGAGTTTCGATAGACAGAAAATAAACTTCTATCGCAACATACCATTAAAAAAAGTTGATACTATAATCAAGTACTATGATGGTGACAATATTTGTGTAGATTATGATAGATATTGAATATTATAGTTTACATCTAGATAACTGTGAACAACTAACTATATGTTCACTATGAAGAAAAGATATTCTAGAACATCTGTTCATTTATATATATATGTAAAGTTAAGTATTGATAAAGGAAAGAATTGTTCGAAATGACTTTCAAGTTAATTAATTTTTGATTTCTAATCATATGACTATTGATCTTTCAACAACTATTATCCGATCCAAAATAAAAGGCAGGCTACTATTTTTCGAATAACTTTTGATAGGAATGAGATAGAGAGCTGTAATTTTCATTATTCGAAAGAGCGGTGTCCGGGTCATCGACCGGTATAGAACTCATTCAGATGAAAGATGATTTTTGAAAGATATCTTTGGATCAGCACTTTTTTCTTTGAATATTTTCATCAATTTTCACAATAATCTTAACTCAAATCATGTCAAAATGTAGCTCTCAAATCACCATTTTTTTCGCTATAAAATTAACATTTGTTTGTTTTTTAAATCCGTTTAGAATAAAAGGTTGAGAGATAAGGAAATATGTGATAATTTTATAGCAAAAAAAACAAAGGGTGATTTGAGCTACATTTTGCCTTAATTTGAGTTAAGATTATTGTGAAAATTGATGAAAATATTCAAAGAAAAAAAGTGTTAATCCAAAGATACCTATAAAAAATCATCTTTCATCTTAATGAGTTCTATACCAATCGATGATTCGGACATCGCTCTTTCGAATGGTGAAAATCACAGCTCTCTATCTCATTCCCATCAAAAGTTATTTGAAAAATGGTAGCCTGTCTTTTATTTTCGATGGAATAACAGTATGGCGTATTATGTGTACTGTTCATAATAAATCATAGAGCAATGCCAGTTCGTTCAATGATAAATAGTATGTATCCATAAATCTAAACTGCTCCGAAATGGAAAACGTCTATATACATCTCGCGCCACAATAGAGTTAAATACAATTAGTTGTCACAAATTCACCAGATGTCAAAAATTAATTTTTGATTCAAATCGCATCATATAAACCAAGGATTGATAGTACATTAAAAAGACTATAAAAATATTTTTATGGATTGACCAGCAAATATTTTAGACATAGTTCAACGAACTAACACATTCAACCCGATGTAGCCCACCGGTGGGCTACACTACTTTCTAACAAAATATCATTACACAGAATTTTGGTTTTTTGAAGACAAAAAGTACACAAATTCAAATAAGCTTTACTTTCCAGATTGTAGAGCTTTTCACGCTGCATCTTTTGGTATAATTTCCCAGGTCCACCAATCCGATAGCGGATCCGATCGGATCTCATAGGAT